TAATAGTGAGTAACAGGTTTGTCCACTGGAAAAATGGAATAGTTTCAATTATCTGGCATCTATAACATTAACTGATGGTACGTTCGCCTACTGTCGACCCAACCAGACCCAACACCTATTAACGATTTTTATCTTTGTGTTTATATACAAATGGGAAACTGATTGTAAATCATCAAACCACATTCTAGAGTTTGGAACTCTTTGAGCGTATTCAGGCATACGCTATTCTATAAACTTTCACCAGTTCTTTCAGTTTACTATATAATATAGGATAAGTATACATTTCTCAATACAAAACATACTTCTCTGTTCTATTATCAAGTTCTGAAAACTATACGAACGTGTAGATATACCAATATTAGCAAAGTGACGACAATTCAAGGTTTTTATATTCAAGGTTTTTAAATTCAAGGTAATTTAAAGTATAAAGTACATGATAGATGCTCCTGGCATATTTAGAGTGTATATGTATATTGTGACCTGACAGTCAAACTGGTCAAAGACGTCAAAGAAACGTTTGCTATAGCTTATTCAAATAAACTAATTCTACTTAAATAAAGAAGTTCTACAATTAGTTAATATAGCTAATTCAAAATGCCAACATATATGTATATAACCTCCGACCACCCTAGGTAGTTAAAGGTGGCACCAGTACTGGTTTTTGTTTGCATAATCTTATTGATTAAAATAATTGCTAAAAACTTATAATATATAGAACTTACATTTCTTAAAATAATATATAAAGCCAATACAATAAAATAAATTTTAGTCATATTAATGGAAATTTTCCGTACGTATTTAATTTAACTGTTCTCTCCAACTTAGGTTTATTAACATTTATATGTATACATTAGTTGTAAAGGTATATTTAATAAGTGAAAAATTCCCCTAAACTAAATATAAAATTTAATGGAAAAATTATTAGTAATATTTACAATGTAATAATGTTTACTACATCTGTCTAAATCTAGGGAAAATCGTAAAGATATTGAGCTTAAACAATAAATAAATTGAATTTCTTATGCTCCTTAAAATCTCCAGTCCTCAACTCAACCCAAATGTATACATTATGCAGTGAAGACACGAACAATAAACATAAAGTGCCCGAAATTAAAGAAGTTGGGCTTATAAATTTCTGTAGGAAACCTCTCTATATATATATATATATAATGTATATATATATATATATATCAAAATTTTTCACAATCTTAAACAATTCAACAATTCTATTAACATGCTTAAAATAATTGTTCAGAAAACAGAATAACCATTATAATACAATAACCATGCTTATTTATTTTTATTATTATTACTCTTTTTTTTTGTTTGCGATAACAGAAATAAAAATATTTTCTAATTTTATTTTTATTTGTTTTGTTTGAATTTGTTTTAAAACATTTGTTTTTAAATGATTGAGGCAATAAATATAAAAAACGTGTTCTACGAAATTATTGCACCCACACGCGAACGAGATAAACCAGAATTCTAAACACAAATACCAATATCTTACCAACAAAAACAATAATAAAATTTATAGTTATTATCATAAAAGAAAAACACATTTTCAAAGATAAAGAATTCATCAAAAATTAAAAAACAAAAAAGTAAAAATCCTCAATATCTTTAACTAATGTAATTAAGCCTGATATTGAAAATGTCAGCTGTTTGTTCTACTAAATAGATTTCTTAACAGTTACGCAATGAACCGCTTAGTGTTTCTTATGCACGCAGTCAGTGTTCAACAGAAAAGGTGAAGTCAGCTAACAGCACCAAAAAAGCGAAGCGAAGTTTATTACACGAATTTACTAATTTCTAATTTCAATGTCAAAAGGTTATTAATTCTAAAAACTGTATAAAACTAATAAATATTGATATAGTACAGACATAATTGATCAGAAAAAGACTAAGTCTGTGTTCATAATTTTTGTTATTCAGACTAATATATTTTAAAAACTCCGAAACTAAACACAAATAACATATTTAGTATTAAAATATCAATATCTAGCTTAAACCATAAAATTATATATAAATTACAATGTATTTCATGGATCGCCATGCAGTACTTGATTCTTGGAAGTTCATTTTCTATAATTTTTCAAAGCTTTCAAATATGGAATTAACGATTGTTTAAGTCCTTGCGTTACTATATAAAAGAAATTAAAAGATGAGAATCAATCAATGGATCAAAGGATCTTGGATCTACAAAGATCCAAAATCGCATGATCTTAGTGATCAAATCACATAACCTTTGGGGTAAAATTACACTTCATGAATCAACTCACGCAATAAAGCAAACAGTAGATTATATGTATAGTTTTTGTTGAAATCACGTATACACCCCATCCATTTCATGAGGTTCTATCCACTTCTGTTAGGAGAAAAGAAATATATCATCCTCATCATTTCATGCCAAAATTAATTGCTATTCATCTGGCTATAGCTATTAGAACTAATGGTTTTTATTACATCTTTGTTATATTCAAAAGAGTACAGGACTATTGCATAGTAGACTACTGTCATACTATACAATGGCTTTCTGAGAATTCATGGATATGTGGATACAATAGTTTTTTATAGGGTTTTTCATAAACCCACTTGTTTTAATTTATTTTTTAACATATTGATTAAACGAATAAGATTAATAAACCTCATTAGTGAAGAAAATTGTCAACTATTGTTATAACAAGTCTTTATAATTTTAATACGTTAAGCTGTTATCAAACGACCCATATTTTAAAATGAATCATAACATATATGTTATAATTATATGGGTCTATAGGTTTAAATTTAAATCTTCAATTAAAGATATAAAGCAGCTCAGGATAATTTTGTTTATCGCTGCCGAATCAAAACCACATCGTAGATGACGCTACGTATTTATATATACATTTTATATTTATTTTTTAAAGTTTAGAAATCTAATTATTAGATATTACTAGAACCATAGCGAAATGGAACAGAACCTGGGATGCACTATGCTTAAGCTGTTGCAGATATCCCCTGGTTCTTCCTCCATATTATTCAAATTATCAATTGATGTGTATATTTTATTTATTAACTGTAGGCAGTTTTAGACAAAGTACGGACAGATCCTGTTTTTTTAAATAAAAATTGTTTTTGTAAGGACTAGCGGTAGCCCTCAACCTCTGGAATCAAAATGTTTTCAAAATAGAATTTAATTTTACGTTATTATTTGTGGATTATTTAATTAAATATGTAACATATATGCAATAAAATTACTTGAATTATTTAAACTCTAGCTTATTCATGGAACAATCAATAAATAAGAATTTTTCGGAAAGTTTATATGGAACTCATAACCTTTAAAGGATTTTGTTAAAACGTAAGTTATTTTTTTTATAAACAGCACATAAAAAATTGTTTTGATTTAGGTAGAAATAATAATTTTTATTTTATAATAATTAATTGTGACCGAAAAGTTTCCGGAAATTTTAAATAAAACGCAAAATTCTTTATCTTCATCAATATTTATTTTATCTCCTTCAAAATATGCTCCATTAGAAGCGATACACAAATGCCAACGTTTCTTCCAATCATCAAAACATTTTTTATAGGCGCTTTCCGGTATGGCTTTGAGTTTCCTCTGCGAATTCTGTTTTACGTCTTCTATGGATTCAAAACGCGTTCCTCTGAGTGGTAATTTGAGTTTGGGAAACAGGAAAAAGTCACACGGTGCAAGATCAGGTGAATACGGGGGCTGTTCGATGGTATTTATTGAATGTTTGGCCTTAAAATCGTTGATAATGTTGGCTCGGTGCGAGGGAGCATTATCGTCATGAAAAATCCATGAATTATCCTTCCACAATTGAGGCCGTTTACGGCGGATATTTTCACGCAAACGTCTTAAAACAGTCAAATAATAGGCTTTATTGACTGTTTGTCCTTCAGGGACGAATTCATGATGCACCACACCACGAATATCGAAGAAAACAATCAGCATTGCCTTGATTTTCGAGCGACTTTGGCGTGGTTTTTTCGGTTTCGGCTCGTCTTTTCCTCTCCATTCCGATGATTGTTGGCTTGTTTGCATGTCGTACTCGTAGACCCATGTCTCGTCACCCGTTATGATGCGTTCCATGAAAGTTGGATCGGAATTGGCACGATCAAGCATGTCTAACGAGACCTGTCCACGATGGTGTTTTTGGAACAAATTGAGGTGAATCGGAAAAAGCCGAGCGTTGACACGTCGCATACACAAATTGTCCACCAAAATCAAACGAGCCATCTCACGACCGATGCCTAGCTCTCGTGCTATCTCTCTAACACTCACATGAGGATTTTTGAACACGATTTCCTTTGCCTTTTCAATGTTTTCGTCGGTGGTAGAGGTCGAAGGTCGTCCAGAACGCGGCATGTCTTCGACGGTCGTACGACAGTCCTGAAAGGCTTTGTACCACTCATAAACTTGAGTTTTCGATAAAACTGATTCCCCATAAGCCTTTTGTAGCATTCGCGATTCTGCACACGAAATTTCGTTCGAAACATAAAATTTGATGCAAACTCTTTGTTCAATATTTTTTTCCATTGTTTTTTTCGCAACGCCCTACTGAGGTGAACTGGTTTCAACAGCTGCCGTAAACGAACTGTCTGACAGATCGCGCTCATTTTTGGCATAGTAATTAAGGACAGTGCTGCCAAACTACATAAACTTAAAATATCGAAAAATATACAGCGCGCGAATTTTAAATGAGAATTTCCGAAAACTTTTCGGTCACAATGTATGTAAATATTTTTGTTTATATATGGGATATATGAGGCTGCAACGGTTTAAAACACAATTAACACTAGAAGCAACCGATAAAAAACATGCTCTTCTTCTTGCTTGTAAATTCAACCCGTCATAAAAATAAAATTAAAAAATAAATAAAAATTATTTTAAAACAGGTTAAACTCAAAAAAAAAAACCTTAAATTTTAATATTCATTATTTGGGTTAACGTACGCAGCAGACATAATTTAAAGTTCATGCTTGTAACTAACCTTGTACAACTCAGACCTAAATGACCTGCAGCTGAGATGAGAACTGCAGAGAAGAGTCCTGTGAATATTAATGATCACTCTATATTCCGAAAAACCGTTTAAAATCCGCTTCAAAAATGTTTCGAACTTAATTTGCACCGAAAAGTATTCACGAGACTGACACACGTCCGCTAGGGCTTAGCTTTCGCAATGCACTAAACTTTGTTCGGTAGTAAATTCGAGTTAAGACGCGACTTCACTACGCGTTGTTCAGAGCCGAGGTGTTTCACTTTTTCTCTTCAACTTTCTAGTATTCTTCGCTTTTGCAGACAAGTTTCGATTTCAATTTCGAATTCAAACTCAAACGCAACTTCAACTGAACTACGAAGCACCTGAACCGCACCGGTCTAACGCTTTTGAGTCTTTGTCTGCGACTGAAATTTGAATGAACTTGCAGCTGCGAGTACAACTTGTAGAGCTCGATCAATACACCGAAAAAAAAACAATTTCAGATACTAATAACAGTAAAATTATACTAGCAGCTTGTGGAATATAGAAAATGGAAAAAAGTATCTTTTGCGGTAGTAGAACTTGTGACTATATTGCAAAAAAAATATATAAAAAACCTGAAAATTACACCAAATAAATGCTTTCGTTATGTGATTTGTAGATTTCCACTTTCGATGTGTTGGTTTAGTGCTTGTTTTATCACAAAATTACTTAATAAACTAGTAATTCGTATGAGTTCTGGAGCTTATCTACGCCATCGAAAATTAAGGCAATTTGCTAGACGACAATTTCGGCACAACTCGCGAGCTTAACGGCGGATTATAAAGATAAGAAACTGTCGATTTCATTGCGATAAATCACATGGACGCATACATCCATATGCTCTCGCAATTCAGAATTCACCATCACAAATGTATCTACTCACACTCCATCGTTGATCGTCAGTCCCGAAATTGAAATACAAATTAATTTCGTAATTGCATTGTAAAAAAACTTTTTTTTTATTATAAATAAAAGTGAAATTATAAATGCCAAAAAAAAAATTTTTTAAGAATTTATAACAGCACTTGAAGCAAACAAGCTTTTTCCTGGGACAGACTTCAGTTGTTTAGGAAATTTGTAAGATAAACGTTTATGATCAGTCGCAACAAATTTGTCTAGTAATTTCAAAGCAGGGAAATAGATAGATAAAGTTATAGGATATCAACCCACGTCAATTAGATAGGAAGGCTATCTGGTTCCATCATTCCTCATTAGTTAGTGGAGAACGACGGTTTGAGGAAGCTATTTGGAAATCAACCAAATAATATGAAAATACATAAACAATAAATTGGAGATGGTGTGGGGTACATAGAAGAATAGGAACTAGGAAGAACTAAAAAAATCGAATAATAGAAACACTGAAGATGAATTGGAGTACATAGAACAATAGGAACTAGGAAAAACTAAATAAACCCAACAAATAAGTAGTTTGGAGATGGTGTGGAGAACATAAAAAAATAGGAACTAGAAAGAACTGATAAAAACCGAACAATAAAAACACTGAAGATGATGTGGAGTACCTAGAACAATCAAAAATAGGAGGAACTAAAGAAAATCAATGAATAAATAATTTGGAAATGAATTGGAGTACATAGAAGAATAGAAACTAAAAGGAACTGAAGAAAACAAAGAAATAAATAATTTGGAGATGGTGTGGAGAACATAGACGAATAGGAACTAGGAGGAACTGAAGAAATCCAAATAATAAAAAACTAAAGATGGTGTGGAGTACATAAAACAATGAGCACTAGAAGGAACTAAAAAAACCAACTAATAAATAATTTGGAAATGGTGTGAAGAACATAGAAGAATAGAAACTAGGAGGAACTAAAGAATCCAAATAATAAATAAATTGTAGTTGGTGTTGGTGAAATACATAAAAAATAGTCTGTGTATTCCTTTGAATCTGTATGTAGAGAAGAATGAACTATGGCATAACAGATCTCCAGTTATTATTCCTCGGACATCAATAATATTATTATACTTTTTTTCCATTGACACTACTTTGCTATCAGTGATGTATTGTTTCCTATGTTCTTTGTAACGATGTGTAGGAGACATAATAAACTCAGTAGGTATATATCATCTTGAATAGTTTAATATTTCACAAATATGCTATTGTATATTTGTTTAAAAATACACTAGACTATTCGTTTTTAACCTAAAATAAATAAAATTTTGAAAAGGGTTATTCGTAAATAGCGTGAGAAAACTTTTCGGGCTATTCGTCACTCAATTACGGGTTATGGCTATATGTTATAATGCCTA